TGGGTGGTAAGGGAGGGGGTGGGGGCAGGGGGGAGAAATAAACCAAGCCTTGTATGCACATGTGAATAATAAAAGAAAAATGGAAAAAAAAAAAAAGAAAAGCCTTACTCTCTTTTAAAGACATAATTAAAAACCTCACCACCTCAATACTGTTATACTGGGGACTAAGCTTCCAGCTCATGAACCTTTGTGGGACAAAATGTACCCAAACCTTAGCGACTATAAACCCTATAAATTGGCTGAATTTGTTTTGCAAAACATTTTTCTCTTGTAGTTTGAATAGTCTTATGTTAGTATGTTTTATATCAATATACAAAATGTGTTGTTTCAGTTCAACTCTGCCTTTATTTTGGCATTAACTATTTGTCTCATTAAAATTATACAATAGAAGTTATAATGTGGCTATATCTTCAGTGATAAAATTTTAAAGAAAGTTTAAATGAAACTACTTAGGACAAGTTAAAAAATTTGAATTATTTTTTGTGATACTGGGGATCAAATGCACGGCCTCAAATATGTTATGTAAGTGCTCTACCACTGAGCTACACCCACGGCCTATGAAAAGTTAAATTTATATTCAAGTTTGATGTTACCATTGAATCCTTACCTTGTAAATGTTCAGACTGGATATTTCATAGCAAATCTGACTTTTGAAAAGGTAGAATATTCACATTTTTACTAGTAATGCAGTGATATTTTTCTCATTTTAATGTATTCACCCTTAGACTGCAGAGATGAATGAACGTTTGCAGAAAATGGGAGAGTCTTCTCTAAGAAATTTTAGAATGGACATTGAGCAAAGTTTGTACAAGTTTGAAGGAGAAGATTATAGAGAAAAACAGAAGGTATGTTTTTACTTTCAACCATCACACCCTCAAAGTTACATTTCTCCCCATCACAATTATAGAATAACATTGACACTTATCTACTCTGCTGTAGAATGAAATTTGATGTATTTCAAAAGTTCTCGTGTAAGGGCTATCCTTTAATATATTTTGGTTTAGCAAAGTAAAGTATACTCACATCTGGGATACATTGAGAAACCCCTTTGAACATTGACTTTGGGATTAATAATGAAAGACAGGACTATAAAATAGGTACAGTGTATGTGGGAGGGGGAGGGTGAATGGAGGAGACGAAAGTGAGGGAATATGGTTGATGGGCTTCATATACATATATGAAATAGAACAATGAAACCTCTTGCAATTGCTTTAAGTGGGGCAGGGAGGAGGTTGAAGGGGGCAGATGGTGGGAGTGGTCTAACTAATGTACATTGTAAGCCTATTTGGAATTGTCACAATGAATCCTCTCTGTACAAGAAATGTATCCTGATAAACATGAAAAGAAAATTTGGTTTCGTATCATCATCATCTTTGCTGCTGTCATTACAGGTAAATATCCCTCATCTGAAATCTGAAATGTTTTTTTTTTGGAGCATTTTGGATTTCAGATTTTCAGATTAGGAATGTAAAACTTGTACTAATACTTTTCTTACTGAGAAGCAGTGTAGTATTGCATTTGAGTATTGAACTGAAGCTGAAGTCTGAAGTCTAACACTAATTAAATGATGTTAGGTACTCAGTTTTCTCACCTATCAAATGGAGAGCCTAGCAGTTACATCATAGAGTAATTCTGATGATGAAATATATTAACATTTGTAAAGCAATTAGAGCAATGCCTGGCATTTAGTATTAACTACATGAGGAATAATATTACTAACATTTAGTAATTAAATGTCAGACCATGACAGTTTTGAAGCATATTCTTTAGTTATTTGTAGTTTGTCTTTCTCACTTTGGGCTTTTGTGACATTTAGTCATGATTTGACTGAGATTATGCATTTTTGCCAAGAATACCACAGAAGGTATGTTATGTGCGCAGCACATATCAGAGCATATATGATGTTAATATATTTTATTTATGATGTTAACCTGGATTGCTTAACAGAGGTGGTATCTACTGACAGTCTCCCCTGTAAAGTAAACATTTTCCTCTTTGTAATTGATAAATATCTTGGGGGAGAAAATGTTCTGAAACTCATATTCACTGATCTTAGCATCTGTTGGTAGAATTTGCCTACCACAGTTATTATAGTAGCTTTGGCATGATGGCAATTTTGTATTCCCCTCGTTCCTCTGTATTTTATTCATTAGGATTTTTCTGTCCCTTCTCCCCCATTTATGTATTCAGCTATTTGTATCAGTATGGCCTCATGAACATTTATTTTTGAATTATAATCCAATTCTGTTCTAGTTTTGTTGTTTAAATTGTTCCATAAAACTTATGGCTTTGAACCTACAGAAAGGAATGTTATTAAAATAAAAAAGGTCATTCTGAGTCTTGATTTTAGTGAAAAACGAGAAGTGAACAATTTTTTTTTTCATTGCAGGTACTATGTTTAATAATGCTTTCTTGCTGTCATTTGCTTCTGATTGTTTTTTGTTTCTTGTATTTGTCTGATTGTTTTATCTACAATCTTAACTCAAAGTGCTTGTGCTTTATTGTTCTGAGATGGCCTGTCTGCACAGGGTGGAAATTGCCTTCCTAAACGCTTTTTAGATTTAATTATATGATATGAATTTTATTAATTTTACAATTATTCCAATGGGATTGCTGGTGCTAGGAGAGTTTTATAAAGTGAAAAATATTAATAGAGTCATTGGAGCTTCTTGTCCACTTTTTTTATGGTCCTAGGGATTGTGCCCAGGGCCTCCACATGCTAATCACGTACTCTACCACTGAACTCCATCCCTAAGGCCCATCACACTGTAGGGAAAGATTAGTTTTAGTAGAGTACTATCAAGGATAGCAGGTTTTCTTCTGCTTCTGATTCTCACAAAATGCACAGATAAAGAGAAATCTTAATATTTATGATTGTTTTAAAAATAATTTTAATTACAGTAATAATAATGTCTAAAATCAGAATTTTTTGGAATATTAACTGAGATTATATTTTATTTCTGTCCATTCATATATGTTAGATTAAGTTCTTAAATTAGGCTCAAATTGTCTTTGAAGAAAATTGAAAAGCCCAAGAATATTTATAAATCATGAGAATTATATTTTGTGGTAGATTTTCACATATGATTTGCTGAATCAGTTCCATTATTTTACTACCATACCTAGTAAATTAAATCATGGTGACTGATCCTCAATGAATTAACTTGATAAGTTAGTATTAATGCACGCTCATGTAAAACAAACTTAATTCGGCACGATTTATTCTGTTTTTGAGAGTTCAGGAATTGACCCTTAACATTTCAAATTTAAATACTTAGGCCTTCAAACAAGATTAAATAGCCAAATATATTACTTTTAGAAAGTTAGTTTAAACTGTTATTTTCACTGCAATTGAGAAAGATAAAATATCAGTTACTTATTAAATCCTTTTTCCCCATTACTAACACTTGACATTACTCCATCTGGGATAAAAAGTAAAGTCTTTTCACTTCTATGGTGCTTCCTTTCTCCTTCCCTCCTGAACTCATGGCCTCACACAGGCTGTGCTGGGCATTTGCTCTATGATTGACCTATAGCCTCAGCTGTGAATATTTCTCATTTTACTTAAACATCGCATTTGTAATATCCACATCTCCTAGCCCCTTGGAGTTCTTGATTTGAAGGGAGGTGTGTCTGTTATGTTGATATTCCTCATTTACTGCTCTCATCTGTTTTCTAATCCATATATTCACCACAGTTACAAGAACCAATATTTCTTTTCCTGGTATGTTAGCTACTATTTATTAAAGTTGACATAAAATACTAAACATATTGCATAGATTCTTCTGAATTACTAAGAAAAAACAAATTTTAAAGTACTTTCAAAAAATAAGACCATCTTTGCACCTAAGCTAAGTACAAGGTTATGGAAGTTTGGAGGTACAGGTGTGACTTCTAAAGCAAGTTTTGAATCTTTCTAATAACTTTGGTTTTTTTCATGCTTCTGCAGCCTTGATGGATGTTGATAAAACAGTTTGGAGTAATTAAGCCCCCTGTTCTTACTTGTTCTGTATAGCTTGGTATGGTAGAATGGATTGAACCTCCTAAACGAGAACGCAAAGCGAACTACGCAGTGGATGCCTACTTTAGAGAGGCCTTGCGAGTCAGTGAGCCAAAGATTCCAAAGGTAAAACTGCACAAGCCAGTTCTTATGTCCCGTAGTAGAATTTCTCTGTTAATATGGTGTGTGAGTCAGGGTTTCTTATATTATTCCCAAATCCCAGTCCCTGGAATGTAGTAATACAAAAAAGTACTTGATATGGCCCAGCCATATAAAGTTTATTTTTAAATGTATAAAAAACAATAAAAGATAATTATGTTCACTTCATGTATTTCATGAAAACAAACATATATGTAATGTCTTTTTCCCCTCACAGGCTCCTCGGCCTCCAAAACAGCCAAATGTTCAGGATTTTCAGTTTTTCCCACCACGTTTATTTGAGCTCCTGGAAAAGGAAATTCTTTATTATCGGAAAACAATAGGTTATAAGGTATTTTTTTCAATTATTTAGATTAGCATGATAAAATGTTTTAAGATATTGCACTCTATTAAGGTTGATGAGGTGTTTCCTTTTAATGTGAAAGAATGTAAGAGGAAATAACAGTGTTTTTAAACTCATAGAGGAGGCTTAACTAGAAGTAAAGCATCAAACTACTGAATCACCCAAGAGGAGCATAACTAAAAGATATTAATGCAGAGTTAGCTAATATTTCAAAATACTAATATCTGTAATAACATTATTTTTAATAGAGTGTTTGAATGATCAAAGGATATTTAGGAGGAACAATAGGTATGTGTTTGAATAAGAGTGAATGTTGATATTTAGTGTGAGAGGAGATTTTTTTTTGTCTTTTTCCTTAATAAGACTAGGAAGTAGTATTTTTGCATTTATGGCTGATAGCTTGAGGAAAGCCACATTGGTGGTTAGTAGATTGTGATCACTTAAGTGTTAAAGATGATGATAAATGTAATAATACATTATATAATTTTAAAATAATCTTTTGGAATTCAGAATTCTTTTTTATATAGGCAGATAGGAACTACTCACTATTTTAGTGAGTGAAATTTAATGTTTGGCATACTACATTTATCATAAGAGATTAAGCATTCAAAGTTATTTCTGTATGTTTAAACTAACTTTGTAGTGAATGGAGAGCAATGACCAAAGGTACAAGCATCACTAATATAAACAAAAGTGTAAAAATATTAGCAGTTATAATTTTATGAATCGAAAGTTATATTTTAAAATGTATTTTGTGAACCATTTTCGCAATCAGAACTATGGAATTTGCCTAGAGATGCTCCATGTATATAAGATACTTAGTTTATTTGTGTTTTGGAACTGGAGTGGATCTCTAGAGTGTGTATTATTTGTTCAGTGTGGGGGCATTGTTATTTGAATCAGAGAACATAAAAGTCTTCTTCTCTGTCTTTATTAAAGTTTAAAAATAAATAAATGAGTGAGATTTGGTGGTGCACACCTGTAATCCCAGCACTCAGGAGAGTGAGGCAGGAGGATTGCAGATTTCAGACTAATCCGCACTACAGAATGTACAAAATGAGAAATACTGTCTCAGAAAAACAATACACACACGCACAAAGTTTAAGGGGAATATAAGTGGTTAGCTATGATTTTGTTAGGGAAATGTGATAAAATTTAAATATATTTATACTAAAAGGACTGGAAAACCTTTTTGAGAAATTCAGAAGAGTGAGGTAATCATGGTGGAACATTCACACCAGGCATATGACTCACTTCAAAGAAAGTGAAAAAACAATGATATGTCAGAAGAAACAGGCCTGTTAGAGATTAAAAATTCAAAATAGAAGCAGTTAATAAGGTGGCAAATTTCATGAGGTAAACAAGAATTTAGCATCTCATTAAGGTTTATAATAATTTGAACCTTCTATCTCTGCCTCCTGAGTAGCTTGGATTATAGGCATGTATAATCACATCTATCTTGTTTTTACAATAGTGTCTTGTTAATTTTTGCCTGAGCTCATGAGCCTCCTGTCTTCACTTTTTGAGTAGCTGGTAGATGGGATTACAGGTGTTTGACACCATGCCTGGCTCATTTGATTCTTAACAACATCATTAAGTAGGTATTTTTATCACCTCCATGTAAGAGGTAAGGAAACTGAAGTTCAGAGAAGTTAAATGACCTTATTCAGGTTACAAGATTGCTATGGGTGCTGGTCTCAAATCCAGCTCTTGGTGTTCAAATGCTGTGCTCTTTCCACTCAGACATTCTGAGCTATTTCTGCATGTGATATAACCCTGATTCTTTCTGCAGTCCTAAATGGGGACTGTTTATAGTGGTGTGACATGTCTTTTGGGAGGTAGGCCAAGTGGTAGTCAAGTAGCAGCAATAAAAAATCATCTCTGATAATAGAACTGTTTATGGTCTTTCTTGGAGATACTGAAATTTCGCTCCTTACGGTAATTACAGTGCCCACCACATTCTGGCCACAGATCTGGTTTGAATATAAATAGTGCCTTTCATTGCAGGCAGTTTGTGGTTAGGAGTGAGAGTTTACAATGACTGTTTGGCTGATGGCCAGCTGGAAGAAGACAGAGGAGAGCGGAAACCTCAGGAAACAAGAGATTTGAAGGGGCAGCTGTGAAGGCCAGGGCAAGAGAAAGGAAGAGGGGAGCATGTAAGAATAGAAGAACAGGATGGGTAGGGAGGAGGAAGATGGGATGGGATTCATGCTATTGTACCTTACTGTTTCTTACCGCCCAGAAAGAAGCCTCAGGAGAGGAGAATGAGTGAAAGGAGAGTTTTAAAAAATTCAGTCCTTATGTACTGAGCACTGTTCCATACCAGGTGCTGTGACAGGTACTTGATATAGAGTGGCAAATAAGACAAGAACCTTCACCTTGGGGAACTTACATTCTAGTGGTGGAGACAGACATTAAACAGACATCACAGTGCAACGATGTTATTTGTGCTTACAGAGGGTGCTGCAAGGGAATGCAATGGTTATCTAATGTGGATGGGAGGTCAGGGCAGTGTTCCTTAAGGAAGTGTCATTTGAATTGAGATCAGAGAAGTTGAATGAGCCATGTGAAATGTGGGAGAGAAGAGATCAGCAGGTCCATCTTCTGGTGCAAAGTGGCGAGGTGGAAAGGAGGAGGCTCCTTTCTGTGGGTAGAGTCTGATCATATGGAGCCTTTCTTTATAGGCCATGTACTAAAGTGGAAATTTAGTGTTAGAACAGACATGAAGACCAGTGGAACAGAATAGAGGATCCAGATATGAAGCCACACAACTATGAGCAACTTATCTTTGACAAAGGAGCTAAAAATATA